TGCTTCGGATGAAGCATGTGAAGATTATACTATGAAAAAAAGAATGTATTTAAAGTTTTTAATTAAATTGCTAAGCAGATAAGCTACTCAGAAACAACAATGTGTTTGAGCAGGAACAGGAAGTGATACTCTACCACAGAGCGAGTGAACACCAAGTGACAGCGCCACCAAGAGTCAGGATGATCTGGCAGGATGAGTCTTCGTATAGCTGTTGGATGATGTTGATGAGCTTCTGCGGGATTCCGTAGTGCTGCGTCAGTTTCCACATGGTCTCCCTGTCAACGCTGTCGAAGGCTTTTTCAAAGTCAACAAAGATTGTGTACAAGGGAGACTGCCATTCAATAGACTGCTTGATGATGTGGTCTGTACATGATCTGTCTTGTCTAAATCCTGCCTGCTCTGATCTCAGTCTCTTGTCCAGTGCCTTCGTCAGTCTCTGCAAGATCATTCTGGTCAACATCTTGCTGGGGAATGACAGCAGCATAATTCCTCACCAGTTGCTGCACTGGGATAGGTCGCCTTTCTTATGGAGCTTCATCAGGTACCCATGCTTCCAGTTCGCAGGCACTTGCTCCTGTTCACATATCTTCACTAGGAGAGGATGTAGCATCTCCCCTGCTGCTGCCGCGTCTGGCTTGAGAGCTTCTGGAGGGATGCCATCAGGCCCTGTGTCGGGAACTGTTTGCGGTGGTGGTGGATTCAGGATCTCTTCAAAATGTTCCACCTATCTTTCCTGACAAGGACACTCTCTTCATGTTGTTCTGCTTGGCTGCTGTTTCTGCCTCTTCTGTCATACTGTGCACAAATTGTCCTTTGTCCCGTCTGGCACTCTTCTTCACTTCTCGGTTCACCTCCCAATATTGTGCTCTGAGGTCTGTTTTCTCATGTTGATCCTGACATCTGTTAATTTTCTGCCTCACCTCCTTCCTCTTCCCTACCTTCTCCCATGTCTCTTTTGTCATCCACTCTTTCTGCCCCTTCTCCTTCTTCCCCCGGACTTTGGTGCAAACGGCCTTCCAGGTCTTCTGTATTTCTGTCCAGGAGTTCTCTATTGTCTCTTCGACCAGATCCCCAAGGGCTTCAAACCTGTTCCTGACTTCACAGTTGAACTCTTTTTCTTGCTTGCCCTCTTTCAAAAACTGTATGTTGAATTTCAGTTCAATTCAATTCAATTCAATTTTATTTATATTATATATATATAATTTGTGGGGTGGTCTTCCTGAAGAGTTGCATAAGGATCTCAATTTGGTCTTCAGTGTTGCCACTAGCAACTGATGGTCTGAGGCTGCATCAGCACCGCGCCTTGCTCTGACGTCCAGCATACTTCGTCTCCACTTCTGGTCGATGGTGAAGTGGTCGATCTGGTTGTCAGTCTTCCCATTTGGTGAAGTCGGAGTGGTCTTTTGGATCTTCCTGTGTGGGTAGATGGTGCCACCCATGGATAGGTCATAAAAGGAACAGAAGTCAGTGAACAGCTCTCCATTCTTGTTGCAGATGCCTATGCCGTGTCTACCCATGATGAGTTCTCTGTCTGTGTTGTCGCCTCCCACCTTGGCGTTCAAGTCACCCATGACGATGCACCCACTAACGCGCTGCATTAGTGGATGCATAACATTGGATGATAGTGGGTTCAACTGCCCTTGCAGACTTGCCAGCGAGCTGGCTTCCCAATGGCTTTCACTGGCACGCGTCATGGGCCCCACTGAAGAGGAGTCTACCTGTCCAGGCAGTTGTAGGGATGTATTTGTTGTTGCAGTTTCTGTAGCATGACTTTTTTTTTTAAGAGGATGGGGTTGCTAGACCCACGCCCAACCCTCCTCCTTTCTCATCCTGGACTTGACACCAGGCAATGGCGGAGTTGGAAAGAATCATTAAAAGAACATAAAACTAAAGACAATAAAGATCTGCAGTCTGGGAGCTGAAGCCCCCCTAAGAGTCCTGTAGCATCCAGTCGAACTGAGAAGGCCAGAACTGATGGTTGTTGAATGACCTTTATTATTCCTTGCCGTGTATCAGACAACGAACCAACGTAAGAGCTAGACAAACAAATAAAACAATTACCATGTTATTTATGTAACACCATTTTAACCGCCATTACGCTGGTCTAACCGTTTTCTATTAAACTATATAATACATATTATGCATTTCAGATTGCTCAAATTAAATCATGTACATTACAAACCTTGTTCCCCTGTCGACTGTAGCTAGAACCATTCGTTTTTGTACAATTTAACCATGTTTTTCTCTCCCTTTTCTCCGTTAGCATTAGTTTTCCGTTTTCTTCCGTCTTTTTTGGGGTGGCTGTAGCTCAGGTGGCAGAGCAGGTCAGCCACTAATCAGAAGGTCGGTGGTTCGATCCCAGGCTGCCTCCTGGCTGCATGTCAAATATCCTTGGGCAAGATACTAACCCCACCCTACTGGTGGTGGTCAGAGGGCCCGGTGGCGCCTGTGTCCGGCAGCCTCGCCTCTGTCAGTGCGCCCCAGGGCAGCTGTGGCTACAATGTAGCTGCCATCACCAGTGTGTGAATGTGTGTGTGAATGACTGAATGTAGTGTAAAGCGCTTTGGGGTCCTATGGACTAGAAAAGCGCTATACAAAAAATGCAGGCCATTTTTTGTACATCAAGTTGGTTACCGTTACATCATTCACTTCCGGTTACACGGGAAGTTACCAAAATAAAAGAACAAGCATTATATTACGTGTATATGAATTAGCTTTACATATCCGCTGTTACAGGTCCCAATCAGTCTCAGTCCACTGAACTCCACCAATGGGGCCAGGCCGTCAGCGTCCTCCAGTAGTGTCCTCCGCCACTCCGCTCTGCTTCCGCTAAACACAGTGAAGCAGGAGCACCCATCCTAATGTACCAGGGATGTCTCTATACATTTTTACAATGGGACTTACCCCACAAGTGCAGAGCTCTAAACCCCGCCTGCCGCTGCTCTGTGCCTAAAGCGTTTTAGCTGGCGTCTTGCTGCCACTTGGACAAAGTCTGCCATTGATGAACCGAAGGCCCTCTCTCCTTCTCCTGCGACTGCGGCCCCACCCTGCCGCCAGTTACTGTTCCACGGCTCGTGCTGCCTACGGCTGCGTCCTTTCGCACAGTCACCTCCTGTGGCTGCACCTCCCGCCACGCTCCTCCATGGCTCTCTCCTTCTCCTCTGCGTCCGGCCACACCTCTCTTCTCTGACCTGCCAGGCCCTCCTATTGGCTGCTGCCAACAAGGGAGGCCTGATTGATTTCTGTCCCCTGTGCCCTCCAGGTGTGTCTAATTAGGGAAAGCAGGGGGCGGAGTCTCTCTGAAAGAAGATCCAATTAATACAATAAAAGCACGCAACACTAAAATACACTCAACATTAAAACACAACAAAGCATGCAACACTAGAAAAGAAATCCTTCTTCCCCAGATGACATACTTCTCTCAGTACATAGACCCTTTAACAGCAGTGAACTTCTTTGTGTAGGACATAACGTTGAAGACAACATTTATTTACCAAATTAAAGCTGAAACATTTTGTTAGAATTCTAAGTGTGTTTACTGAAAATCAAAGTGTCAGTGAGTACAGTCTCCACCAATACGCACTCAGAAACTGGGGAAACTCACACAGGAAGTGGTCTGGCAGACCCAAAGCAACAACAGAATCAGAATACAGGTTTGTGAGAGTCAACAGCAGGTGTGATAGCTGGAGATTGCAGCTCAATAGTAGTTAAAGGGTGCAAGTCTTTGCTTCAGTTATACAGAGAAGACTGCAACATGTAGGTCTGACACGGTGAATTGCTAAGATGTCAGAAAGGGGGATTGTTTGGGCCATGAACCAAGGCCAGTGGACTAAAGAATACCTATAAGACCTATAAGACCTCTAATAAGTCCATAAGAAGGGTTTATAGACCAATGAAACAAAATCTAATTGACTGCAGATGAATTACACCAAAAGTATGTGCTTCATGAGATGTATGATTTCTATTTTATATTAGAGCTTTAAATGGAGTTGACTGCAAAGGTATAATTTGTGTTTTTAAATAAATCAAAAAATCCTTATGAAAGTAATTGGATAAATTCTAATGCACATTTTAAAGCTCTTATCCAGTCATGGTATGTTAGTTTCATGTGTTTGCAACAGATGTAGCACCTTTTGGGAGGTTTAAATGTCTGTATTTTGGCCAAGTATAACTGACTGTCAGTGAGTAGCTAAGTTCAAGTATCTGGTACCTCTGCTAGACCATAAATTCCAACACATGAATACCATTACAGACGGCGTCACCGACTATATAAATATCTGCAAGTATACCATCATATCAAGCAATGACCTGAAGGCGTACTGAATGATAAGAAGAGGGTCATTAGGTCAGGGAACAAAGGGGAGTTGCAAAAAATGAAGGTGGAGTATTAAGGGAGGAGTAAGGAGATGGAGTCCAGGGAGCTGGTGAGGAGGTCTGTGAAGCAATAAGTCAGAAATCACCTCCTTCTGAATGTCAGCAACATAAAAGAGATGGTAAAGAGAGGGGAAAAGAATGTGACTAGGCCCATTAGAATCATAGGTGAGGAGGTGGACAGCTACAGGTACCTGAGGTACACCTCATTTTATTTTCTCAGGAAGCTCAGATCCTGCAGCAACATCTTGGAGATCTTTTAGCAGTCTGTCGCAAATGCCATTTACTTTTCTGATCAATTCACAATGCTGGAACCATCACTGGCCAGAATCATTTTAGTCAGTGATGGACAAACCGCTTCCTATCATGTACAGCCCATCTCACCTGATCCATTCCACACTACTGACATAGTAGAGAGCCGTCTTCCTCAGACTTACTGAACTCCTCTGCCATAAAGAATGCTTCAGGAAATTATTTCTACCATTATCTATAAATCAATTCAATAAATCTGTTTTGTGTGTGATGGGTGAGGATACCTATCAACTATAAGATTCCATGCACATATTTCTGTGTTATACCTTCTTGCAGCTGTTTCTCAGATATATAGTGTCCATATCTGTCATCCATAGGCATAGACTGGGCCCCGCAGTCTAATCGCATAGTGACATGTGCCTCCGACCGCAATGCCTATGTGTGGACCCTGAAGGATGGTGTCTGGAAACCTACCTTAGTCTTGGTACGCATCAACCGTGCAGCCACATGTGTGAAGTGGTCCCCACTGGAGAACAAGTTTGCCCTGGGCAGTGGAGCCCGTCTTATCTCTATCTGCTACTTCGAGCAGGAAAATGACTGGTGAGCAATATAAGATCTCATTTAAAAGACTTGTGTTTGGTACATAAGACGTGATGATGTTGATTTTTGTTAGTATGATAGGAATGGTTCTAACATTCCTCCTCCACTTTAGGTGGCTGAGTAAGCACATCAAGAAGTCAATTTGCTCTACAGTGCTGAGTCTGGACTGGCATCCCAACAACATTCTCCTGGCAGCAGGGTCTGCAGACCTTCACTGCAGGTGAAACTACAACGAAACCTGTGGTCGATCTTTGCATGATGAAGACACACAATGACTGCATCTTTCTCACATATTTGCACTTCTTATTTCAGTATAAATTTGTTTTAGACAAATCTTCAAGCCACACTGTTGCACTGGATCTTGCTCCTTGATTAACACATACTAATACAGTGGAATTTATTTTGACTTAATCACACTTACAGTCTTCTGTTGCCCTCATCAGTGAGGGTTAGGATTTCCTTTGTGTAAATCTTAAGGGGTGGCTGTAGCTCAGGAGGTAGTGCACGTCATCTGCCAATCGGAAGGTTGGTGGGTCAATTACTGGCTCCCCCAGTCTGCATGCCAAATATCCTTGGGCAAGATACTAACCCCCATGCAACCATTGGAGTATGAATGTGCATGAGTGTGAGAGGCATAGAGTACTTGTGTGAATGGGTGAGTATGGGTGAATGCGGCGTGTTGTATAGAGCGCTTTGAGTACTCCAGGACAGTAGAAAAGCGCTATATAAGAATCAGTCCATTTACACAAAGTTTGACTAAGTCTAGAGTTAGCAGGTGTTGGGAATTTCAGTTTAAAGCCATGATCAGGATAAAGAAGACACATTACTTTCATAAGAAAGTGTGCCAAATCATCTCTGGCAGTGCCAGTTTGACTGTTGTTTGGTGTCATTCATTGAACTGGATCATTGAAGTCTGAATTACCATACATAGCCACAACAGCCTGTTACCTCCTCCTAATGCTGGTCACTGGCTTGGTCACACACTGCTGTGGATCGGCATCCCATTCTTCAACCAGCATTTGTCTCTCTTGCGCAAACATCGCATCCAAACTGATCCCGCAAATGTTCAATGTGGTTGTGGTCAGGACTGCAGGTAGGCCAATCGACCCACTCTCCTCCCGAGTTCTGGAGGTTTCTGGTAAACTGCGCTCTGTGGGGACGAGCACTGTCATCTTGGAGAATAGAGTTTGGTCCCGGACTGTGGAGATATGGGATTGCCTGGTGGCACAACCTCATCTCGATACCTCTCAGCATTGAAACTGCCTCCAGTGAGGAGAAGCCTCGCCACCACCATCGCACTGCCTCAACCAAAATCTCTGGCTGGTGAAGAAATCAGCTCAGTGTTCTTTGCGTCTTCACACTACCATACAATCCAACTGCTGTAGGCAGAATCTGGACTCATCGCTAATGTTCCTCCACATGTTCAAGTCCAGTGCATGTGTCGCCAGCACCACTGCAACTGGTCCTGACAGTGAAGGGCAGCCATAGCAGACCTCCTGGCTCGCCTGGCTGACAGGGTGAGGAAATGGTCTTCTTGTCGTGTCATCTTCTTGGCATGCCCACTTCACAGCCTATCTTCGACATCCTGCATTACATGGAGCTTGACCATCAGTTTATAGATGGTACTAGGGATCACGCGAAATAATGTTGCAGCTCGGTTTTGCAGAACACCAGCTTGAATTTGCCTGATCAGTCAAACATGGCATACTTGGATGAGAAGCAAACTGACTGTTGTAGCCAGTGTTGCTAGTCTGGTGTCGATTAATCACCTTATTGTCACCAGAAGCTCAAAACAAAAGTCAGTAGCAGAATAAGTTTTCAATGGCACAGCCCAAATACTCAACTCTGCTGCATAAGTCACACATTCTCCTTAAAGATGTAGCACCATTTAAGGAGAAATAAATAACTGCCATCAAGCATCAATCTGGTTTTTGTGCTAAGTTTAATTTTATACTATATTTGCTTTAACCTAATATTGATTTGTGTAAAAATGTTTAAATAATAAAAGTAAAAAGTCAGATATGTCAAGCATGAAAGGCAACCACAAGGTTTTATGTTATAAAATAATGTCAGTACACTTGAACCAAAGATGTCTTATTCATTTTGGTTATGGGCCATACAGGCTTTATGGGTAATGAAAAAGTAGACAAAACACACTGATTCACTATTTAAGAACTAACAAAGAGATATTTGTGTTTCCCAGGATTTTCTCAACCTACATCAAGGACATTGAGGAAAAGCCCGGGCCCACTGCCTGGGGGGCCAAGATGCCTTTTGGGGAGATGATGCTGGAGCATAAAGACTGTGGTGGGTGGGTACACAGTGTTTCCTTCTCTCCCAGTGGAGACCAGTTGGCCTGGGTGGCCCACAACAGCAGCATCAGTGTCGCTGATGCCACACAGGGGAAGGAGTAAGTATTGCTACCGAACCACTTACTTCATTAATATGAGGAGTATTATTTTATTCACTTAAACATATAGCCATTACTGTAAACCTTTCCTTGTATATAGGAGTGCCACAGGTGCATGACCTTATATCATTTCACCTGTTCGCCTGTTAGGGTAATCCAGCTGACCAGTGACAGCCTGCCACTGCTGAGCGTCCTCTATATCAGCCCTACTGAGATTGTTGCTGCGGTAACTATGCCCCGCTCCATGTGTTTGTCTGTGTAAATCAAAATTATTCAACTGTGTAAAGATGTAAAATCTCCATATTATCAATAGATTAAATGACTGTGAGTCATGTGAAAGGCATGTTCAAGACAGAAAGACAAAACTGAAGCCTTGACAAATAAAACAAAAAAAATTATACTAAATTGTGTCTGAGCTTTGCTGCTCCATGGCCATTGGTCACGCAATATCACATTGAAAAACCGAATATCCGAAATGATCAGATATTATTTTGTGCTTTTTCTGCACCCAGGGACATGACTGTTGCCCCTACCAGTACACGTATAAGGGCCCACGCTCTCTGGAGTTTGTGAAGAAGCTTGATATCCCAAAGCAGACCTCCAAAGGGAATATGTCAGCAATGCAACACTTTCGCAACCTGGACAAAAAGGCCACTGACGAGGAAATCGGTGACCTGGACGCACTTCATCAAAACAGCATCACGTGAGGAATACTGCTTTTTAATTTGAAAAGGCACAATAACCTTTGCTGAGGAGGTTCTGTTCTTAAACAACTGAGTGAAGGAAGCATGTTTTAAATATTTTATACTATTTGTCATCCTACAGCTCTCACCCACTTTATTTTCTGCCAACATTTCCAAAGCTGAGTGTTTCTTCTTCACTCACTATGTGTTGATAGACCTCTCTCTGTTTAATCATTAGTTATTATTAATCTCTGGCTCCCCAACCAATCACAGCAGATGGCCCCGCCCCTCCCTGAGCCTGGTTCTGCTGGAGGTTTCTTCCTGTTAAAAGGGAGTTTTTCCTTCCCACTGTCGCCAAAGTGCTTGCTCATAGGGGGTCATATGATTGTTGTGGTTTCTCTCTATTATTTACAAAGTAAAGTGTGCTGAGGTGACTGTTGTTGTGATTTGGTGCTATGTAAATACAATTCAAGTGAACTGACAAATTAAAATGGAAACTGATTTTAAAACCATCATTAATACCCGTTGATCTCACTTTGCTCACAGAAGAGCATCTGTTAGTACGCGTCAGACATTTTGTCTGTCCAAATATTTTCACCTATGTTGTCATTTCCTTTCTTAGCTGTTACTTTGTGCTCTGCAGGCAGCTGCGTATTGTATCACTGGACAAAGCCAAAGTTGTGCAGTACAGCAGCGTGGGTCTGGATGGAGCTATGGTGATCTGGGATTTTAAGGTACTGTCTTCAGTAAAAATACAAAAAGATGAAGTGGATGTAGTAATTATTTTTGAAACAATCTTTTTTGAATCGCTCTGATGATGAGAAACTGAGCAAGCTCAGCTCACTGAAGTCGGGCTTCTCGATGAAGTAAAAGTAGGATGCACACATTTAGTGCAAATTTACCAATGTTTCTTAAATATCTCACATTACAGGCTCAGACCAGTTTTCTGATTTCAGATCTCCAAAACACTCAAAGTGATTTGTCGCTGCACTTGAATGTAAATTTGAATTGTTAAATTTGTTACTAAGAGTTATATAAACCTTAGAAGGCTGGGAAATATGAATTTCATGCCTGAGAGTATTAATGGAGATCCACACTGATAATACACTCAGGTGTATTGGATCTCTGTGCTCAGTGTTAGCCATCAGCTATAATAGAACAAGAAACACATAATTTGATGATCCTTGTGTGTCATTCACATCTTAAAGGCTCATATGTTCTAATATGCTTTTGTTTTTGCTCTCCTTTGCAGCCCTGACTCCACATTTGTCCTTGAGCTGAGTCAGAGATCAAACACATCCTTGGTTCATTCATTCATCTGTGTTTTCCAGTAACTGGGAAATGCTGTTAGCACATGTGATTTGTGATATTTGACAAAAAACTAATTGTTTACTAAAATAAATGGGTAATGTATTGCCTGTTGTGGATCCACTGTGCTTTACATAACTTACTCTGCCAGTACATATGGAGGCCAGTGTAGCTAATCCTGTGTTACGGCTGGTTTCCTTGACTTTAGGGTTTTAGACCTGCGGTCATGTATTTGGCGCAAACTGGACTTTAAATTCAGACCCAGCACACCAGAAGTTTAAAAGCTTTATTTACAGACTAAGTGTAACTTACTGAGAACAAACAGGAGACTGGTATGGCAAAACTGACTGTGGGAACTAAAGCAGAAGCTCATTTGAGTGAGGAGAAACAATGGTAGCTGGGACTGGGAAAAGTGTGGAAGACTTGCTAAACTGTTTTGGGTACATCTGGTTATCTCACTCGAGGGAGTTCCAGAACAGAAACTTCGGAGGGATCTGAGGAGAGCCCACAGGTTTCCAGACAGGGAGAGTGAATAAGCTGTTGAGTTATAGGTAATACGGTTATTAAGGCCCCATAATACTGGCTGGACTCTCGTTGCATGGGACCATCAAGCTTGCTGTGTTGTGGGTGTCTCACACCAATGTTGACATCACATCATGTGTCGCGTGATTAGAAAATTACCTTCACTCTAGTTGGATACCTTCAAGTGGGGATGTTCTGGTGACTAATTTCTAACCATGGAAAAGAATGAGACTAAATGACAGGTCTTTGGTAAACGGCCTGTATTTATATAGCGCTTTACTAGTCCCTAAGGACCCCAAAGCGCTTTACATATCCAGTCATCCACCCATTCACACACACATCCACACACTGGTGATGGCAGCTACATTGTAGCCACAGCCACCCTGGGGCGCACTGACAGAGGCGAGGCTGCCGGACACTGGCGCCACCGGGCCCTCTGACCACCACCAGTAGGCAACGGGTGAAGTGTCTTGCCCAAGGACACAACGACCGAGACTGTCCAAGCCGGGGCTCGAACCAGCAACCTTCCGATTACAAGGCGAGCTCCCAACTCTTGAGCCACGATCGCCCAGGTCTATAACTAAGAGACACTCAGATATGAAGTTAAATTTGAGAACTGTTTAATTGGAGATAAATTATCTGAATTTCAGGAGTGGGACCACGCCTCCAAACAGGCCCCTTCCGTGTCTTATCTATATATGGTTGATTTCATTGGTTTAGATGTCCACTTGGTCAAAAAACAAACAATGATCTTAGTCTCACTATCAGCCAATAGTAAGAGGCAGATAAACCTTTGACCTTAGCCCCGAACTGTTCTTATTTTACGTCTTTGTGGGAGGGTTTTTCTTCTCCATGGTCTGGATGACCGACCTCTGAAATACCTGCAATAAAACTGAAATTAAAGTTATTTCTAATGGAGAAAGCCATCGCCTTTGATTTGGGTACTCATCCACACATTAACAGCTCCATATTTCTTCCAAATTGGAGCATTCTTCTACCCTACCAACATCTGGTGACAAATGACCAGGCCTCCAGTCCAAGTCCAAGGAAGAGAAGGAGGCCTCTGGACATGAGGATGGAGACCACTGTTCCCCTGGAGTTCTTCAAATTCTTATAACCAAAGGACAAACCAGCTTTTCCAACACTTCTTAACATGTCATAAGGCTGTGTTACCTGAGTCACACTTTGAGGACCATTTACAGTGCATGGAAAAAAGACAGAAGTCTTTTCCATGCACTGTCTTAGAGTCTTAGTCCTTCCCTGCAGTGGTGTGAGGAGAAGCATGAGGACACTCCAGGTGAGAGGAGTTAATGCAACAGGTATTTAAAAGAAATGAGACATTCTTGACGAGTCATTGTAATGTAATGTTAAACAGGTCACCTTGTTGTATTTTATGATGTTAGGTGGTCAAATTCTCTAAAAGGCAGAATAACAACAGTACAACGCAGTAAAAGAGACATATGAGTTGTAATTTGTACCTTGAAAGAATGTGATGTATAAGAGAGCTACTGTAAATTCAACAAGCTATGGAGACATTAGACACCTTTATTATTGGACTGTATGCCTTGGCTGAAAACAGCAACTATAGTGCTTTGCATGACAAATTTATCAGACATCATACAGTGGTAGGACTGAAGTAAACCTGCCTATCTGAGCTGCTGGATAAAGACTTAACTCTGCAGTCCAAAGCTGTCAACACAGCAAGGCAGTCTGAAGCCATTAAAAGTCAGCAAACTGACCTGACGGTGGATAATAACTGGGACACTGATCCAGTGACCATTACGCAGAAGATGTAAAAGCAATCACCACACAAAACCCTACATCAAACACCTGCTGAATGACGGCATGCTACAGATGTGCCAGCTTCCCCAACTATTGGAAATCAAGTAATGAGGTGACAAGATATAACTGCAGCAAGAGAGGACGCTACAGGAAAGTGTGTCCATGCTAAATGGACTGGTTCTTATAGAACTCTTTTCTACTCTGAGCTTTACATTTTACACAATCCCTCAGTCGCCTATTCCCTCAAGCACTTTTTTTTCTATGCTCTTTCTATGTAGGTGCTTCTATGTACCATTCACACACATGCATACTCCGATAGAAGCATCAGAGAGCATGTTGGGGTTAGTATCTTGCCCACTGAGACTGGTGCACGCAGGCAAATCGAACCACCTGCTCTACCATCTGAGCTACAGTCACCACAGAGCCAAATCTTCTGCTTCATCGCAAAAACAAGAATGTCCCCCCCCCCTCCTCTCTGGACATACAATCACTTGATGTCCAGCCCAATGGCGTGTCCAGCGGGGTGGCCTGGGGGGGCACAGGCCACCCCCCAAACCAGACTGGCCACCCCAGGTGCCACCCCAAAGGCAAAACAATAAAATTCAATCAAATATCAAATGTCCGATTATGTTTTCACGGTGACGCTCAGATATCCGAGTGTAAGTGAATGCAGCATCGCTTCTGCTATGTGCATCACGTTAGCAAAGGTAGGAGAGCCAAGCGCGAAAGATGGCACTGCAGGAAACAATTTTTCGGTGAAAGAAAATGAGGACAGAATAAATGTCCCGGTAAGTAATATTAAGTTTGAGTTTAGTAAACTTCGGTGAAATTAGAATACCAAGGAAAAAATTACACTTAAAGAATTATTGGAATATTTCAGACAGTATGCTACTGAGGGCAGCTAACATAAGAGTTATGAGTTATAAGATGTAATCTAAGTCGTAACATTGCTGTATGGAGCTGCAAATTTGGTTGCAGGTTAACATAGCTGGACTGGCCATCGGGCTTATTTGACTTATTTTTTATTTTTTTTGTAATGGCATGAACAATGAGAGGTGGTGGATTGGCCAGATGCAGGTCGATGTGTAGAAATAACTCCGTTGTTTGGTGGTGGCTATGGCGGGGCTTCCACAGAGGCAGCAGGTGGATGAGGGAAGGGGAGGCAGGAGGAGAGCCCCGAGGCAGCCGCCAGTCCGAGTGTCAGGTGAACTGAACTTCAGGTAAGAAGTTATGACCTGCAGTCTATCTGGGTCAGATATAAACCAAGTTTAGGTGGAGTTTATTTTCATGTTGCTGACTTTTTACTGTCAGTTGCAATAACTCATACTGCGTTCTAGCCAGCTTGGAGTTTTTATACAGCTGGGTGGGTGCTATGATGTTACTGATAGTGAACTTTATTTTATTCATAAGGTTAGTAGAGTTGCCAGCGGCTCCTTAAAAAAATGGAATGGTCCCTCAATCAGAGAAAATATTACACGTTTCGTATTGAGCTGAGAAGAGACGCGGTTTGTCCCGAACTTTAGCTAGAATGGAAAAAGACACAAAGCTGGATTTATTCTGTCGTTACGTTGCACAGCTGCCTCTTCTCTCATTCTCCCCCCTCCCTCTGCTGTTGCTACTTCAGTCATGAAACTGATCAATGATCAGCTGATCGTCTCTCTCGTTTGTTTATCGCTCACTTTGCGCCAGAAAGAGGAAACCAGCAGATGTCGCGCTAAACAACAGCAGCACGTTTAAGCTTGATCAGCTGTTGTTAGAATTTATTTAATATTAATTTCTAGTATCAGCTGATGTTTGCTGGAGCCACAGCTGTAAAGCTGCTGGTCATGATGTCGGTTTGGATATGTGGTGAGAGGGAAACATGAAACCAGGAGATGTCCTTACTGAATCATCAGAGCTGAACAGGTGATGGAGAAACAGGTTTACATTTTAGGTGACATGAATGAGTTGAAGTTATGAACTGTTTCTGAGAGACAAATAACACCAGGATCCTTTTTTATGTAGCTGACAGCTGGTAACTGTGCAGGGGCGGGTCTAGCAAAGTTTTGCCAGGGGGCAGGTAGGGCATTAACAGGGAGAGGGGGGCACAAAGAAATACTTTTCTTTCTTATTCTCATTTAAAATACCTAGTTTTTATTAAATAATTATCTAAATCTTACAACCAAAGTTTTTATCTGACGTAAAATGTATAGAAATCATACATATACCAACAAGACTGTACATCACTGTCACAACAGCATTTGTTGTCATTCAAAGTCTTTATGGCTTTAATACCTGGTGGGCCAATCTGTAGTGAAAATGCCCAATTTTTTTGTCCCAGTCCAGCCCTGCAGGTTATACTGGCAGTGTCACCATGCCAGCTGACTGTATTTCATCATCAGCCAGTGTTGTTCTTTATCAATATTACCAAAGTTTACCATAAGGCAGCAGAGAAAGTATTTACTTGCTTTCAGGTTTTATTCAAATGTTAGTCTTTTCAGTTGTTTCTCCACTTTTTTTCTGTTTCAAAATCAAACACCAGTTTGTGAGAAGATTATCTTCTTTTTTTTAACAGGCAGATAAAGTTTTGCATTGGCATTGGCTAATTTGTCAATTGTTTGTTACAAATGTTCATATTTTAATTTTCAAAAATGTTTTTGCCCAAAACATATGTGCACTATATGTCAGTAAAAATACTATGTAAATATTGATGTCCTTGAATGCTGAGTAAACACTGACAAAGCACTGATTGTATCTCTTGTACTTTATCAACGCAGTATCTAAAAACTTTGCACCGTAGTGGTTAAAATCTCATTCTAATAA